AGTATAAATGCACAGCTGCGCGCGTTGCCTGCGCCGTGAGTTGCGCCGGTCACTTGACGCAGAAGTATAAACCAGGCTTTACGCGACGGCAGCCATATTGCCCCAGACTGAATACCACACACCAGCTGATAGGTGGAAAGGAAGCCAATTATCATATGGGGATAGTTAGGAGTCCAGTGGGCAAATTTGGCCAGGATGCTGGGGTTAAACCCCTGCTCTGGGATTTTTACCTCAGTTTAACATCTCATCCAAACGACAGCGCTCACTGAGGAGTATAGAGTCTTTTTTACTATACTGGGCCGTCAGGACCCACAGACCGCAGGTTGAGCACCCCCTGCTGTTCTCATTAACATTACTTCCGGCAGCAACCTAGCTTTCCCACATGGTCTCTCATCCAGGTACTGACCAGGTACAGCCTTGCTTAGCTTCAGTGGGTGACCATGTGAGTGTTGCAGAGAGCTAGCTGCTGTCAATAAATAGTTTTGCTTGCATCACTTTTATGATTAAAGTCAATATTTTTATAATTAAAAGTACTTAATTTAACCCTAAATGTTGTTATGTTACCTTCAATTTACTTGTGGATTGATTTATTTTTATTTTTTAATTTTTTGATAGAATTTTGGATGATGATGACCAATAAAATGTTGATAACTATGTTCTTACAGAGATAATCAGTATATAGTAATCTTTAAATATCTTTTGGTTTGTTTGTTTGTTTGTTCCTAGGATGTCTAAGAAAGTCTGTAGACTCAATTGTATGTGAAGAACTTTTGTGTTTGCCTGAAAATCTAATGGATATTATATAAACATGTCTTGAGAACATTTTTGCTATATGACACACAAAATGTTCAGGATAATGTCGAAAGAGCTATCCTGTTATGTCAGTGTCATTACAAAAAGGGGATTACCTAAAATGATATTTAGAAAATCCCTTTTCAAACCTTTTTGTTTATTTATGAGCTTATTAAAAAATATTTTTGAATATATTTTCAGTTTATTATTTCATATTTTTCAACCATCATCATCAAATTGCGTAATAATGTTAATTGTTTTGTAAAAGTCATAATTTTTATTGTTTTATTATTATTATTATTATTAGATACAAAGATTTGTTCTTGTATGAAACATTTGTTAATTAAATCTACCTTAAATCTAACATTTTTGTTGTATTGTCCTTAAGGGTACATGTTAGTAAAGTGTGAGAAAACTTTTGTATTCTTATTTCTGAGAAATATTGAAATATATTTGTAATATCAAATCAGTCATATAAATGTTAAAACTATCAAATGTGGCACTTTAAGATAACATTTACCAGACATTAAAAACGCAAGCATTGCTGTTGATACTTCCCTCAAATCTTGAGACTTACTAAAGATTTTCAGCTTACCTTGACCACAGATACACATAAGATCTGAGAAACCTTGATTTTTCTTCTAGTCAAGGCTCATAAAGCCCAAATCTGGTTTGGGTTGCCTTTAAGATGGCTTTATCTGGTGCCGGGTGTTGACTTGATCTCCTTAAAGTGATTGCATGATGTGAACACAGAACTTAAGAGTAAGACTCGTATCACCTTGTTCGCCCCTCTCTTTTGTAGAACAGCCCGCACAGAGATGTAATCAGTAACAACTCAACCTCACTATCTCTAGCCCAGACTAAGACTCCCAATATTAAGCCTGAATCCAACACTAGCTTATTTCAGACCGTCAGCAGTTCCACGTTGCCCCACCTTTAGAAATATTCCAGATTGTCTGCTTTGCATGCTGTCAGAAATTAGGGTAAAAAAAAAGATTCAACATAGCAAGCAATATTTTATACAGTCACAGTTAGCTGGGACAATACTACCACTAGAAAAAAAATTGGATGTGGTCAACTGGAAATTCTATTAGGGCCTTGAATTAAAATGTTAAGATGTCTCACGTTACTGCCGAGTTTGCCATTCAGAGTGCTGTAAATCTCAGGAATATCCTGAGGCCACAGTGAACATCCCATCTGAGTGTTAATCAGCAGAATGAGAATTACACACATCCTTTGTAAACTGTCAGCTAACGCGCATCGTTTCAAGTTTGGCAAAAATAGGAAGTGTTTTGCAAGAGTAGTTTTTATGGCATTTTCAAAGTGCTGAAAAATGCTAATAAAATGCATTTCTATCTCAATTGAATCATTTAGCAGACGCTTTTATCCAAAGCGACTTACAAGCGAAGATAAAAGAAACACTTCAAACCATCAGAGAGCAGCAATTTAAAAATGATTTGACAAGTCTAAGAGATCAGCCACACAGAGTGTTTTTCTATTCCGATGCACTACTTTTCTATTGTTTTTCTAGGTAAGCATGATGGATGTGCATTACCGTTATAAATATAAATATGCATTCAGTAAAAATGACTGTCATATAAATATGTACACAATGCCTTAACATTTCTGTTGTCTTTTACTGTATGTTTAAATTGTTAATATTAAAATTAAAAAAGCTAGTGCTTTATATTATGTTTTAATTTTATTGTTAAAGTGACCTAGTTTACCCTCTTTACAAGATGTAAGATAAGCCCTTGCTGTCTCAAAAATGTGTCTGTAAAGTTTCAGCTCAAAATACCCATCAGATTATTTATTATAGCCTCCAGAATTTGCCCATTTGGGTGTCTGAGTATATTGTAGCTGTTTTTGTAGCCTGTGGCTTTAAATGCAAATAAGCTGTTTTTCCATTCCCACCATTCTCATGGGAGTTGGTAAAAGCTGAAATACAGCTCGTTAGTCAAAAATATTATGTTTATTTCATGTATTTGTGGTGGATTTTATTCAAGCCTTTCTAAAATGATGAGTCTTACACAAATGACGTTTGCAGCACACACACACACACACACACACACACACAACACACACACACACACACACACACACACACACACACACACACACACACACACACACACACACACACACACACACACACTCATGCATGTTTACTGATACCATACGGCCATGGTGATTATAGCGGTTAAGAATTACATAGCAATTTTACCGTGTTTATTACAAACATGCACTATTTTAAAAAAGTGCAAATTTAAAACAAAACAGAGACAGTTGTAACAAGTCTTTTAATCAGTTTATTTGCTAAACAAACATTCTGTGAGCATGTGTATACATGTTATTACAGAAACATGTCATCTCTCAGTCAATTTGGTGGGTGGGGAAAAACGCACTCCTACGTTATGTTGCAGTGGGCCTCAAAATCACTGGCATTTGGGTTCTATTTTAACGCCAGGAAATTGTGTAAAAAAAAAAAAAAAAAAAAAAGACACTTGTTGGGTTTATATCACTCCAATATGACAGTGGACACACTGTACATACACACAGTTCTGTCCAAACAGCTTACAAATGTTTTTTATCATAGGTGCCTTTAAGGTAGTAAAACAATGTAGCCAGGGCCATGTGAATGACCCATGACAATTTTTTTTTTTTTTTTAATGTTTTATTTATACATTGTGAAACATTACAAAAATTTACAAAGACATAATCATGTAACAATATGCAAATATACTGAAGAGTATTTTGAGCAAATAGTAATAATAAAAATAAATAAACAATAATAAATAAAAATATGATAATAAAAATAAATAGATAAATAAAATAAAAAACAACAACACTAGTGCAATCTTATATACATAAAAAACAAGTCTACAATGTGTTGACCAGAAGTAGTTTCCCATAAAAGCTGGGCATTAGGGGGTGGGGACTCAATCAGAAGAAGCAGGGTCAAGCTGAAGATTTTGGACATATTTGCGAAGGGGTTTCCATAAATTAATAAAAATAGTGCTAGTTCGGTGAAGAGAGTACCTAATTTTTTCTAATTTCATAAAATAAAGAACATTTCTTATCCAACAAGAGTGAGAAGGAGGGTGTGGGCTCTTCCAGTTCAGAAGAATTAATCGCCTAGCCAGAAGAGTTAAGAAAGCTACAAAGTCTACAAAATGAGAGGGTAAAGTGTGGTCGGGCGGAAGAACCCCAAATAAACCAATAATTGGACATGGTGGGATATCAACAGTGGTAATAGCTGATAGCGAGAGAAATATTTGTCTCCAAAAGGAAAGCAGGGAAGGACAGGACCAAAACATATGAAATAAAGTAGCTGTACCAGAATGACACCTGTCGCATTCAGGGTCTATAGACGGATTGATGCGAGCTAGCCTGCTTTTGGACCAATGAGCTCTATGCACTACCTTGCATTGTATAAGCCTGTGACGTGCACAGATTGAGGAGGAGTTAACCCTGTTCAAGACCGCTTTCCATGTCTCCTCTGTAATCTCAATTCCCATGTCTTGAGACCAGGTGGTCCGTAAGTTATCAGAAGAAAATTGAAGATTAACAATTATATTAAATAATTTAGAAATTGAACCTTTAGCACAGGGATCTATGCCCAGTATTGTGTCTAGATCTGAAGTTGGCGGTGCATTTGGAAAGTTAACAAATTTTTTGCGCACAAAATCTCGTGTTTGTAAGTATCTGAAAAAATTGGATTTAGGGACATTAAATTGAGAGGCCAACTGACCAAAAGAGGCAAAAACACCGTCAATGTAAAGATCACCAAAAGAAGCCTGACCCATGACAATTTTATGTGAAGATTTACTCGTCCTCAAGAGTAGTTGACACAATTCTTGAGATTTTTTTGGTGACAACCTAATTGTTTTATGTTCAATCCACTTTAATTTGTGAAGTGTTAACTTAGTGGATTTATGTTGGGACATGATTGAATTTTGTGGAACCCAGCGTTTTTTTTTTTTTTTACAGAGAGTGTGTGTCCTACAGCTGGTCTGTCATGCCTATTCTGCTGTATGGTTTTCCAAAAAACATGGATTGCTTATAAGAAAATGTCTTGTGTAAATCAATGAGTGCTGTATTTGAACAATTAAATAAAAATAATATATTCATACTTCTTAAACTCCTTCAAATTACCATATTTCTTTAAGTGTTGTTTATTATCACAACTCTCTTTTTTTCTGAGGTAGATGAGAGCTCCTGAGGATGGAGAGGATGACGATGATGATTTTGTGGATGTGCCGGAAAAGGAAGGATATGAACCTCATATTCCTGAACATCTGCGGACAGAGTATGGTGAGTTTGTTCAGGTGCACATGTTAATGCAATAAGACAAACCCGTTTTGTGGTTAGTGGGACAAGCTTTCTCTAGACCTTGCTTAATCTAAATAATCTCTCAAAGGATATCACCACGCACTTATAGTGGCTGCTTCAAAGCAGAAATGAGCTGGAAAGTCCTCTGGGGAAGCCTGTTTGTTTGTATATGTGGACTTAAAAGCAGCAGGGGATATTTAAATGTGGTATTAAGAGCACAATGGGGAAACGGTTGGCCTCAAAGCCTCAAAGGACAAAGCAGTTTGTTTGTAGAGTTGAGGTGTGAAGTATGAAACGTCTGTGCTTAGTGTAATGTAGGAATTGTGGTAGCCTTTAAAAAGGAACTTTAGAAATACATAATAGATATACATAATGTTTTTTATTTACCTCAGAAATAGTAAATAATAAATAAAGTATATAAAGTTGTAAATAAAAATACATATTGTTATATATAAAAAAAAGAAATAGAATGAAATAATTAACACACATACACAGCTATGGGGGAAAACTAAGAACTTTGGACTACTGATGACATTTCCTAAAATAAAAAGGTAATTTTGAACATTTATGTTTGATAAAATAACAAAAAATTTGCTTTTTTTGCAGACATTAACTTCAAAATAGTTAAGGAATCTGTATTTGGTGGAACAACTGGGGGGCTAATAAATCCAGATAAAAGGTCTCTTTTTTTTACCTTTGCTAAAATATAATGACATTTTTTTATACACCACAGGAACATACACTAAGTGCTGGAGACAATGTCGGTCTCAGGAACCTAATTACTGGCACATTTTGGCAATGTCCAGTAATAAAACAATTTTAGGCAGAAGTGCATGGAATAATAGAAAACATACTTAATATTACACTACACTTTCGATTCATGGTTATTTATTTTGGAAGCTCTGATATCCAATTAAGTAAATCTGAAAAATACTTGATATTTAAATAATCGCAGCCAAAAAAGCAATTACAAGACACTGGTTACTTTCTGAATCCCAAACAACCCAAGAATGGCAAGAAATAGTATCTAAAATTTATATGATAGAAAAAAATACATTCTCTCTCCAACTCCAAATTAATGCAATTAGAAATATCTGGTTCAAGTGGACTTAATACTTTAAATTACACTATCCAATCTTCATAGAAATATAAAAATATTACTATCTTAACTTCCATCCACAGAACAAACAATTTTTAATTTACAACCCATTGCACTTGTCCCCTTAATCCTCTCTTTATACAGTTAAAGTCAGAATTATTAGCCCCCCTGAATTATTAGCCCCGTAGTTATTTTTTTTCCCCAATTTCTGTTTAACAGAGGGAAGATTTTTTTTCAACACATTTCTAAGCATAATAGTTTAATAGCTAATTTCTAATAACTGAGTAATTTTATCTTTGCCATGATGACAGTAAATAATATTTAACTAGGTATTTTTCAACACACTTTTATACAGCTTAAAGTCACATTTAAACACTTAACAAGGTTAATAAGGTTAACTAGGCAAGATATTGTAATTAGATAAGTTATTGTATAACGATGGTTTGTTCTGTAGACTTTTGAAAAAAAAATTGCTTTAAGGGACTAACAATTTTAACCTTAAAATGGTTCATAAAAAATTAAAAACTGCTTTTATTCTAGCCGAAATAAAACAAATAAGATTTTCTCCAGAAGAAAAAATATTATCAAACATACTGTGAAAATTTGCTCTGCTAAACATCATATTTAATTTTTACATATTTTAAACATATTTAAAAAGGAAAAACAATCAAAGGGGGGCTAAAAATTCTGACTTCAACTGTATTAGAAACTTACAGTTGATAATAACTAAACTAAAGTTGAGTGAATAAATAAAGATTTGACCCTCTCTGACCTATGTAGATGTTAGTTATTGATATTATTTATGTTACCATTTTTTGGTACTATTATTTTCATAAATTTTATTTTGTGAAACTTTTGTTTTTTTTATTGTGCTCTGTTACTTGTTCTGTTAAAGTTTAGCAATGGGAAATGTACACTCTCTTAAGTGAAATCATTTACTGTATTTATTGCTACTTTAAATAAAAAATAAAAAAAACTTTGAGGAGAAATGTATGATCAAAATAACACACCATCAGTGTGAAAGCATCTGCACATCTAATAAACCTGAATATCTTCTTGAACGGTTATAAATTGCTTTAAGCCTGGTTTAAATCAATTATAACCTGGGGCTGCCAAGAGAAATCTGTTTTGACAGCTGACTATTTGTACATGCAAAAGATTCTTGTCCATCCGGGCAAGGACAGCTCTATTGACAAGAAGCCACAGGCAAAAGACAGAGGTCAAGCAATAGGTCAGACACAAGCTAGATTATATTTGACCTCAAATCCTGTCCCATTCTAAATTTACTGTCATGACAGCCATCGATTATAGTAGCTAATAGGATTCATACACTTCTGGAATGCCATACATTTACTGTAGTAGTTTCCAGATGTATGACAAACTAATGTAATGCCTGAACTCATTATGAGATTAAGGATATGATTTCACTGCCCTCTCCTGTTCTCTTTCTTCATTTGTTTCCTCTCAGCATCTCTAAGCAGGCACTAACTGAAGATTCATTAGGATATAATTTCTACAACTTCCCAGAGCCAAACCGCTTTCTGCTGTAAAGTATGTAATGATCAGTGCACTGGCCATGCCAAATTAACAAAGCAATGGTGTTAATGAGCTCCCATTAGCTTAGAGCCGTAATTTACAATGCTCACCTCACCTGCCTCTTTGCTGAACTGTTCAACAGCCAAACCAAGTGCTAGTCTGAGACAGGATTATTATTAACTTAATGCAAGTACTGTTTAATATTATTAACTATTTAATATTATTTTGTTATGATATTGCTATGTGGTTGTCATTATTATCAAAAGTGCTTTCTGCATGAAATGAAATGAAAATGTACTTTTATTTTTATATGGATATAGTAGTGCTTGTTACAAATGCACTTCATTACTTTGTAAAAATTTATTTACCCTCACAATCTTTAATGAAATATCATAACTTTCCCTCCCACCTTGAAATGACTTTTCTTCACTGTTGGTCACATAGAATGCCCTTAGGGCTGGGATATCAGTGCATGTTTTCAATTTGAATACTTTCAGTTCTTTCACGGTAGCTAGTGGTTTGAATAAATTTGGTGCGATTGCGTTTGTATAAATTAGCCATTCCTTCTCGTCATCATCAGGATTTCTAAATATCCTGCACAATACTGTGTCAATGGTGATTCCTCTGTAGTGGACAGTAATCACCAACAGCTGTGAAAACTTGCATTCAAATCCTTGACCTGCCTCCATTTTGTTAGCAACATCCATCTTTTTCAATTTCAGAAACTGTTTTAATTGGATGTACATCACAATTGGTGCAAAATGGGGAGTCTTAAGGCTTATTTATAGTTCTGCGTGAAGTGCACACATATGTTCTGACACAGCCTTCGCGTGGTCAGATAGCCCTCGCCGTGGCTGATGCTAATGCGCACCTCTCAAAAAATATAACTACATTTTGTCTGTGATTTGATCTGTGATTGGTCGGCTTAGTAGCGCTGACGGTTGTGGGTGGGACCGAGAGCCATTAGAACCCATTAGAACGAGTGTTTACAAATGTCGAGTCCCGTGACGAAGCTCCAGGTGGAAACTTTTGTTTTGTATTTACCTCATGATTAAAGTTATTGCACATCTGCCTGTTCCCGCCTCAGAATTACGAAAAAACAAAACACCCGTGAACATACACAGGGGAACATAAAAACCTAACTGCCAGCTAGCATTTGGAAGTGTTATTGCAGAGCAACACAAACAGCATGCAGAAGTATAAAGGCATAGCAACGCGCAAGGCATGCACCGTGGGACACGCCGATCACTCAGCGCAGAAGTATAAACCAACCTCTAACTTCCACATCATTACTCTAATAGTAATCTCAAATTATATCAGAGTTGCTACAGTAAGTCCAAGTAAATTTTTCAGCTCAGTGATAATCAGTGATTACTTGTCCCTTTAGAGTCAATTGCTGGATTTTCATAAAGGGAAAGTAAAAAGTGTTATGGCTTATATTCTCTTTTTCTTTATTGACATTAAGCTATTTTGAAACATTACATCTACATTGTAACAAGCGCTTAAGAAATAAAGGTGAATTAAATTGAAGGTTTACCATATCTTCTTTGATATTTTTTGATACATTCACTTATAGATAAAGTGTACGTGTTAAAGTACCGACTGACTTTCCACATACCAAACAAATGTGATCCTCTCCTGTGTGATCCACTCATTTAAAACATGATGTATCATCTGGCAGTTTAATCTGGCACTCTAGATATTTTTGGGTTGCCATTTATGTATTTCAGGACCAATATCCATTAAAGGAACAGTCCACTTTGGAAAAAAGGCTCCTTTTACATGATATGGGGGGAAAGTTGATTATTACATCGAATTGAGAGTGTAATTCCCAGCCAAATCAGCCTAGAAAATAGTCACTTAATTTTCCGTCAGTCTTCATTCACAATTTACAGAAAAGTCAAACTTTAAATAGAAATTTATCAAAATGCTTTGGTCATTTTGTTAGCAATATGCTAATGGTGTTATATGATTGAATGGTCTAAGCTAAGCTTAATTAAAAGTGCTCCTGCCAGAGCTCTAGATCTGATTTTTTTTTTTTATAAACCCAAATGTCATACTCTTAGGAAGTTATAAAATAAGCCTATTTTGTTCCTTTAAGAAACAATTCCGTTTTGCATTTGCATGTTGTCATTCACACAAGCCTAACGTTTAATGCTTATAGTTAGAGATAGGCCTATACTTGAATCTTAACCCCCAAATATGATCTGTAGTCATTCTGATGCATTCCTTAGCCAATCTTTTACCACAGTCAGTCAAACCTGAGGCTGATTTGAGCCACGTGAATGTCATTTCTTTTCTATTGGATTAAATGTGAAAAGCAGTTTTTTGGTGTACTCCACATGCAGAGGAATGTAGATTGAAAATGGAAATTGCGCATTAAGAGAGCAACCACTCGCAGTATAATTTAAACACTCCTAAAACGGGACGCGGAAAATATTATTCTGATTTACTGCCAACTTAACTCCATCATTTCAAATTTATCAATCAGTGCAAGTTAGCATCAGCAGTTTCATTTAATATTACATCAACCTGTCACGGGACTCCAGCTCATCTGTGGCTAATCTTTTCCCTTTCTTTTTTCAAAATGACATCGGCTCTCTCATCCAAAGAGAAACACTTTCATTTGAAAAGCATTTTGTCTGTTCCTCTTCTCCTTTCTCTCTCTCCTTCTTTCTCGCCATTCCTTTCACAACAGAGCTTTTATCTCTCCCTTTATCCCGGCGTTCCTGTCAGGACGTTATCTCTCTCAAAATTTACATTTTAATTACAAGGCCTGCTGAACTCAGGAAAATCAATAACGCCACCATTGGCAGCTCAACTCTATGTCTACTGCTGGGCCTCTCTATTTCCTCTTATTGATTTATCTCTTTAGCACCTGCAACTTTATTGCTTCAGACAAATAGCTACCATTTTGGTCAATTTGAACAGAAAAAGAGAGGATTTGGTCGTATTTCATGATTCTGCACACCCGAGCATTGCTATGATGCCGTAAGTCATTGAGGTAGCGGGTGAAGCTGGATTAACTGTAGGATCAAGATGGGGATTGTGAGAATTCGACCATACGTTTCTCACTGTCGTAGGACTGTCGTTTATTTCCTTTAGTTTATGTCTGTTGAATTAGACGACATTGTGTTTACTAAGACATCACTGTTACTAGATTGTTTATGTTTAGGGTTAGTGATTTGTTGAAGTAATCAGAACATAACATTTGTTATCAGACTTGAATCTGAAGGAGGAACTTGATGATATCTATCCAGAGGCTAGAAAAGACTTTAGTGAGCAAACATCTAGCTTTGCAAGTGCAGATGAACATAGATGGGCATGTATAAAAGCAAATGTATTAAAAATAAATTAAATACTTCACTTATCAATAAAAAAAATATCAAAATGCAAAATAAAGAATACATGAAACACATGAAAATTAGCAACTGAGGGATGAATTAACTTATTTTACAAACAAAGTTTTGCTTCAAGTTTTGTTTTATTTCACCTATTGCAGACACACACACACACACACACACACACACACACACACACACACACACACACACACACACACACACACACACAAACATAGATATGCAATGCGCAACATATAAAAGTACATCCCTTACAAATCTATCTTTTAAACTCATATTTTTAATAGGAAGCTTTACAATATTATATTTGTGCATATACATTAGATTAGTCAGTACTGAAACCAAATCTGGATCTTATCTACCAAAATAACTTATGAAAACGGTCCAAAAACTAGTACAATCACATGTATATGTTATAGAAAAATATAATGCAAATTGTAAAAAGAGGACAAATCTAAAGAAGCAAAGAAATGTCAAAATGTAGTTGAAATTTCGTAGGTTGTATATTTTTTTCAATATTTTGCTTAAATTTAATTGTGCTATTTTTTTAATTTTTAAAAAATGTTTTGTGGCTAAAATATTATTTTAATAAATATATCTGTTTAATAAATCTGTTTAGTTTAAATGAACCTAAATACATAGTCTATATTCACTGTTAAATGGATAAAAAATGTTGTTTTTTAAAATGGGGTGTACTCAATTATGCAGAGCACTGTATATATTTAGTATCCTTTATAGACATAATGTATGTTATACTGTAAATACTGCTTATTATATGGCCTTACCCTTACCTCTACCCCTAAACTCAACCCTCGAAGGAAACCTTTGGCAAATTCTAAATGTTAAAAGTTAAGTTTGATTTTGAAGCAATTTGAATTACAAGGACACAAGGGTTGTCTTTGTAAACCACCTTGCCATAGAGTACCATACAGTTATAGGTCATATTCATGTCATTACAAAAAAACATACACACATTGGCTAGCTGAGAAAACCAAACAATTAAAATTGACTTGATTCCAGTCATTCTGTTCATTTTGAATATTTAGATCTCTTACTGAAAAAATAAGTTGTATGAGACAGATATACTAAAACTGACAAGGAAAAAATTTAATAAAGGCATAATTTATTGTGCTAAATTTAACAGTCCTGAATGAAATTTAGAATCAAAATCAGAATCGGTTTTATTGCCAAGTGTGCTTTACACGCACAAGGAATTTGTTTTGGCCACAGAAGCCTCCAGTGTACATAAAATAAATATGTGAAAGACATTAGATAGAGATGCAATTAGACAAAAGAGCTGTGGATGATGAATTGTATGTACAGATTTAAAAAAGAAATTAACAAGTTATAAGGTGCTGTGTACAAATGCATATGAGAAAGTATTTTATTATATATTTTTATAAGGTGCTATGTACAGGTGTGAATGAAAAAATATTGCACATGTTTATTGCACAGTATGGCAATATTTAACTGTTCATGATGTAGATAGCCTGAGGAAAGAATCTTTTCCTATATTATATTATATTATATTATATTATATTATATTATATTATATTATATTATATTATTTTATTTTATATTATATTATATTATATTATATTATATTATAGTATATTATATTATATCATATTATATTATATATTTAGTATTATATATAATTGAATAAAAATAATATATATATATATATATATATATATATATATATATATTGCTGTAGACTATATTTAAATACCTATATTTAAAAAAAATTATATTTGAATTAATAATTATTATTAGTAGTTATTATTATTATTAGTAGTAGTAGTACTAGTAGTAGTGGTAGTGGTTGTGGTGGGGTAGTAGTGGTACTAATACTACTACAAATAGTAGTAATATTTAATTTGACCATTTTAAATTATCCTTGTCATTGTCTTTGGCAGTTATTTGAAACTACCGCTCATTAAATAAAAACAGACTAGGATCTCCTTATATGCCCACCCACATGACTGTTTGTCCATGTCAGGTGTCTCTAAATCAGTCTTAAGAGGACTTCATGGTACTTTAATGTTTTTATTTGATCTCCGTCTGGAAGTAGAGCAGGTTTAGGGTGACTCTCAGATCTCTGTGTCCTGCTTAAGACAACCTTAAGCCCCTGCACGCTCCTGTTAAAACCCCATCAGTGCATTGGACTATAAGAAGATGAATAGGGTTTTTCATGTAGAAGCAATCCTTAATAAAGCAGGTTGAAGTTTGTGTTCACAATATTTGACTGCTAAACATTTATAAAGTTTCTTCTTTTGTTTCTTATAGGACTTGATGAAACTCCTTCGACATCAACCTCTGGGACGAAAGCAAAACCTTCGAGACCAGTGGTCAAATGTGCTGTTCCTCCGGTGTCCTCCAGTCTCTCTCGGCTGAAGAGGAGGATGTGTGATGAAGAGCAGGATCCCACCTGTGCTGCTGCAACCCTGCGTGTGTTAAAACAGAAGCTTCACCCAGCCCCGTCCACAAGGTAATTTCTACATCCACCCTGTTTGATCAATATGACGTAGACAAGAAAAACAGTAGGAAAATGACTGCTAGCAGTGATGGACTAAAATCTTTGAAAGTTATTATTCTCAAAACAGTATTTCATAAAATATTGTGTAAATATATAGGGCTCTATTTTGACGGTCCATGCGCAAGGCGCAAACGCTATTAGGGTGAGTCAGAACGCATTTTTGCTAATTTAAGGACGGGAAAATCCGCTTTGCACCGTGGCGCATGGTCTAAAAGGGTTGAGTTTTTTTTTTTTTTTTTTAATGAGTTATAGGTGTGTTATATTTTTTTATTTTTTATTTTAGAATAAACCAATCAGAGTCTTATCTTCCATTTCCCTTTAAGAGCCAGCTGCGTCGCGCCATAAGCGCATTCGCTATTTACAGAATGTAAAGTAAGTCTAAGTGAAAAAACTGAGCATTTCACTAGCAAACAGTTAACAGTTCTTTTAACAGAAAACTGTTAAAGAGAGCATCTACTGTGTGAGAATGAGAGATAATTGATCTACTTTCACTTTCACTCTTGGATAGGGAAACCTTTATGCACAGACATCAATTAGCCTATAAATAATTAAATATAAGTTTGTTAAACGCAAATATTTGTTTCAAAACTTTTTCTAAATTCAGTTCTAATTTCCAGCAAACGAATAAATGAACAATAATAACGAAGTGTGTTTAAAAACCTGAGTTATATCCTAAAACACATGCTGTGGTCTAATATTGTCTAAAACCTGACAGGTGGGCAAATCTAAGCTTGCTTTTAATAAAACAAATATAAATATGGATATAATAAATAATACTGCTAATAATAATACCATTATACAAAAGCAAATTGTTATGAATGAACTGAAAAAGCCTCCTGAGATGAAGAAGATATAAAAGCAGTGATTTTTCATATTTATGTAGGCTAGAAAATAATATGTTTTGTAATATTTTAATCCTTTATATTTATATCCTATATCTATTCTTATTATATCCTCTATATATCCTTAATATTTAAATTTTTCATATGTAAAGATATTTGCCTATTGCTCTCTTGTGCGAATTAAGCAGTGTGTAAGCGAGGCGCGACTCTGCGCTGGAGTTTAGACCGGGTTAGTTTTGGTCTAATGAAAAATCTATTATAGTTTCTCAAATTAGCAAAACGCACCAGCAATGCGCCTCAGAAAGCCTTCCTTTTTAGACCAGAATGCCTATGGGCGCACATATGAGCGCTAATGCATTTGCCATTTAAACAGCGTAGCGCAACGCCTCAAAACAACTCTTGCGCCAAGCTGAAACTAGCAAAAGACTATTGCACCGCGCCTTGCGCCACATTGCGCTGGGTGTATGATAGGGCCTATATTATTTAAAGCCTTATTTTATGAGGAAACATAACTATTTATGTATTGTCAGAAAAGTGACTTAAATATATTTATATTTATATAATAAATAAGATTTTTTTAATCTAGACATTAACCCTCATTGGGGGAAGAGCATATCATACTAAAATGTATGAATGAGACTGTAAAAATTTATACAAATTAGGGTAACACTTTATAATTACACACTATGAATTTTTTTTAAGCATTAGTTAATAGTTCTGTTATCTGTTAAGCATTAACTCTACATTAATATATGTTAGTAAACAATTTTTAACTGCAGATACAAATGCTATATTCTTGACTTATAAACTCATATATAATGAGCTTAATGATTTTTTTTATCATTATATGAAGTATTGCATCTTTTACAAACCAGTTAATCGAGAGAAGTTGCTGGTTTTTAGAGATTATTCAGAATATGCAAGTTAATTATTAATAAACTATAAACTATAAAATATAAAAATTATCATTTATATATCTTATTATTCAGGCATATATTGATAGTTAATTTATATGTTAACAATGCTTTATTAACTCAACTTTATCCAGTTTTGTGACCTAATCTAAAATGAGGGCTATTTATTCTTTATAAATTAATAATATGATATGTTTACAATTAATAATTTAGATAAATATTGATTTGAATAGTTTATTAATCATTTAACTCATTCTTAAGGATCTGAAAAAAAACAACTAATCTTGAATACAAATGATTTGTAAATAATACAATACTTAATTTAGTAATGAAAAATTAAAGAGTAACAAAGTATAAAATTACAATTATTAAACCCATATTAAATGTACTTAAAAGTCAAGAATAAAGCATTTATATATGCAGTTGTAAACTATTTACTAACATCTAATAATGTAGAGTTAATGCTTAACAGATAATGATTTAACTATTTGCTAATGCTTAATAGGTGATTCATAGTGTTTACAGTAGTTATTATTACCCAAATTAGCCCTGGCATCATAAAGTTTTGAATTGCCATGAGCTTATTATTATATATTATTGGCTTTGAGTTATGCAATGAGTTGCTGTAATTAAATCACTTGACTGAAATCTAAAGAAAGGGATTACTTACCTATTCATTTGTAAATCATTTAATTACCTATAACATACTTTCCTTAAATACTGTTTGTAAATTCAACAGTTCTGTAAAAATCAGTTCAAATTTTATTTTGCAAATGTTTTTTTTTTTTTTTTTGCAGAATAATTCTATTTCAACTAATGAAACTTATATTTGTAAGACAATTGCGAATTTTTAGGAAACATTAAACAGTGTAAAAAGCGATTGGTTACTTTGCTTAAAAAATAGTGAATAATCTTGTTGTCTTAAAAATGACAGATTGACTTAAAAATAGTGAGTTTTTACTTGGAACTGTAAAGTTAACTTAACTAGGCATGGAATGATAACTGATTTTAAGGTTTACAGCAGTTTGTAAAAGTTAAGGTTTTAAAACCGCTAAATATTTTGTTATTCCTAAGGTATTAGGAAGAGGTTTTTTATGTTTTGTAAAGAAATCTGTTTTTGAAACTAATGAAAAAAGCAAAAGTCAATGATTTATTTTAACTTTTTTGGCTAACATGTTTACTGCTAAATATTATAAATGTTTCCTAAAATAATATATATTGTGTTCAATGGGGAAAAAATGTTTTGTTTTACCCAGACATTTAAAAATAACTTGTAGAGCAGCAATCATAATGGACCCTTTTAACAAGGCTGTTATGACGCATTTAACAGCCATCATAGTCTTAAATCCTTGAAATGTTTTAGTATTTAGATTTTAGAGTTTATGAATGTATTATATCCTATTTGCGACAAATTACAAAAAAAAAATTACCCCTAATGCAAGGTGTTTCTAATGCAGCCTCTATGCGCCTGAGAATAAATTTTATGTTATTCTCTCCTCTGGATGCCATTATCAGCCTTAAACAATTTTTTCCTTTTTCTGAAAGTCTTCATAACACCATCGTGGACTTTTTTTAGTATTTTAGCAGATGTGATTGTACAAAAATTGTTTATTGTACTCGCTGATTCACTGCGCTTTGAGTTTACCCAACTATGGCGCTTTCCGATTCTGAGAAACCTGGAAATGTGAAAAGGCTTTATATACCGTGATACGGTGGTATTTTTTTATCCAAGGTTATCCTACCGTCAGAAACTTATACCAGTCCATGCCTAAACTTTACTAGTTTGTGCACTTGTGCAAAAATTTCATGAACTTAATTTTTAGGCAATGGTTTTACTCACTATAGTTGGAAAAATCATTTAAATACAATTTTAATGGTGTAATTATTAATTATTTACTTTTTAAAGTGACTTACCCAACACTGGTTGAACCATAAACATTCAAGTGCTTTCAAATAAACAGGTTCATAATTATTCGTACACTTTTTTGTATTTTATTATATTTGTGACCCTGGACCACAAAACCAGTCAATAAGTTTTTTAAACTGAGATTTATACATGAAAAGCTGAATAATTTATTTTAAAGCTTTACCCTATTTTATTAATATTTATTTAGTTTAGTTATCTTAGTTAATAAAATACAGTTGTGTTATTTTATGTAAGTTCAGGTCCATTGCATATTATATTATAAATAAATATATGTACAGCATTATGTTTTTAATCTAAAGAATCTAATCTAATCTTTTGTTTCAGTGTGCCTGATGGCTCTTCTGAGTCTGCAGTGAGCAGCAGTGACCAGAGCAACATGACTAAAAACAAAGCCTCATTCAAGGCCCCCGTCATCCCATTTGGAATGGATCTTTACTATTGGGGTGAAGAGCAGCCCACCGCTGGCAAAATAATCAAGTACGCTCTCTGCGAATGTTTCAAATGTGCATTCATCAGTCTCTTTTTGAAGTGTGAATGGATTGCAAGAATGGCCACTAGAGAGCACTATTGTATGACCACTGACTTCAGATCAATTCCTATTCACCTAAATGAAGTGCTGAAAACATTGATCTGAACCCTGATACAAGATTTGTGCTCATAGTATAAAACTCTCCTATGGTAATGGAAAACCTGGAAATATTTGCGAATAGTAATTTTAAGGCTTGTCTTAGAAATCGATAAAAATCTTGAACCTTTCTATGGTGAAATCACATTTATGCACACACTAAAATGCATATTGTGAAGTCATTTCTGTATGAGGATTGTTTTTAAATTTTCTGAAAAATCATACAGTTCATGCCGTTCCTTCTATAAAAACCCTGTCCTGACTGGTTTTCAGGCAAACCTCACAACATCAATTCTGGGTTCCTCATGAGGTGGAGGAAGAAGTGGAGAACAAGGAACTTTCTGCACAGATGAAGTCTAGATGTATCACTTATGCTGGGAAATTCAAACCCGTGGAACACAAATGCAAAGCACCAATGCCCAATGGATCTTTGTGTGAGCGTCAAGATAGAGTAAAGGTCAGAAAAACAACTGTACCAATGTCCTAATAAAAAATAACTATAATAATAATGAATGATTTGACCATATTATGGCTTTTATTGTTACTGCATGCTGTGAATAAATAGATATGAGCAAGACGCTGATCGAATAAAGTGCTGAATTGAAATGGGATGTGATTTCAGTGCCCGTTCCATGGACACATTATCCCTCGGGATGAGCTGGGCAGGCCTGTTAACCCTGAAGATGCACTACGATTGGAGAGGGAGAAGAGGAAACGTGAGGAGGAGCAGCCAGGTTAGACAATTGATGCAACCTGTTTAACAATAATCTTTTGAATTCTTTGATGGAACACAATTTTTGTTTTGTTTAGTTTTTTCAGTATGACAACAGCATAAACATACAAACAAAACTATTATGAAACTCTTTATTTCACTCCAAAATTTTAATTGACTCCTAATATTTTGACCATCTTTTAAATATAAAAAAGAAAATTCAAAAATTGTTTAATTATTTTATTCCAATTTTGTATATAGATTTAATGTATGTGAAACGGTAAGATAAAAATTCTTCAAAACTGATGACAAAATCTGGACAACAGCTTTTTTTATATTTGCGAAATCTTTTCAGCTGAATGATTACTTATTCACTATCATTTGGCTTAGTACCTGATTTTCATTATCAGGGCTTTCCACAGTGGAATGAACCACCGAGTGCTGAATAATTGGCGCAATGGGTAGCACGTTCGCCTCACAGCTAGAAGGTTGCTGGTTCGAGCCTTGGCTGGGTCAGTTGTCGTTTCTGTGTAGAGTTTGCATGTTCTCCCTGTGTTTGCGTGGTTTTCCGGATATATGCTAGATAAGTTGGCGGTTCATTCCGCTGGGGCAACCCCAAATTAATAAAGGGATTAAGCCAAAAAGAAAATGAAAGAATATATACTTAAAAATATTTTAAGAATATGTTTTAATAGTTTAATGATAGATTTGCATGTTCATGTTTCTATGACTCAGGTTAATGGCCATATGTTGGGCTAGACAGAATATGCAGATTTCATTTTGCTATTGCTCTGCCAAACTTTGAAAAAAAATCTGTGAATTTATGCAGAAAGATTTTAAGAGTATAGAAGCTGACCTCAAAACATAAAGTATATAGCTTTTATACTTTTTTTTTTAAGGTTTTCAATGCAAATCCATTTACAGTATAACTATTTAGTTGGTAAACAAAGCTACAGTATTGCAGGTCTCTGATATAATTCATCCACTTAAGGAGTTAAGACAATAGAAATGATTACTTTACAAATTGTACTGTACATTAATCAGCTTAACATTTGTATATTATACCTTAATAGTACTGAAATGATATAAGAGCTGAATAAATATATATTTAGACACATTTACAAGTAAATACAGCAGGGAAAATACGTATTAAACATGTCACCTTTATGTTCATTTCACTTTAAAATTCTAAACAACCAAATATATCCATATATGCAAAGAAAACAAGTCTAAATAGTTTACAAATTAAGTTATGCTTATTAAAATGACATTATTGAACACATGAAAAAAGGGAAGTAAAGACAGGGAGTGAAAACCCAGACAGCAGCTAAAATTTCTCAGTAGTTCTTTAGCAACCCTCTGCCCTTCATCTTTGTAAATTAATGAGCTGCCTCAGTCCAACATCTACATTATCAGTAGATTATCCAATAAAAATACACAAAAATATCATATTTGATAGACAAGACCCACTGAAGCATCAAGATTTTGTATGTTGAAGTCCTGAGAAATTCATGTGACTTTATTCTCCATATGAGATGTGTCTTTCAGCTGCTGCCACCATAAAAGCCCATTTTATAAAGTATTAAACAGGTTTCAATAGTTCGGTATTTTCTCCTTGTGTCATTTCATTGTTATTACACATACATTTTTTCAGATATTTTTTGTGTTTTATTTAATTTCTTCATGTTTGTATCATTTTGGGTTTTACCAAAATCTGGTTCAATTCCATGTCAACAGCTCCTTTAAACATATTATTCAAATGAAATAACATAATCTGTTCAATACTTATTTTCCCCGCTGTGAATAGATTGAATGATGAGCTCAAAAAATCTGTGAAAATCTGTGGAGTTTTTTGCTGATTTCTGTGGGTGCAGATTCCATTTGGGTTGTGCAATTAAATATGAAATATTTCAAACTGTTCAGCTTTTCATTTTTATTGTTTTTACTTTAAAATAAGATATAAACCTATTATAAAGTTAAAATCTAAATAAAATAATGCTGCAAATTAAAGTTCTAAAAAGTCATACTTGTAATCATTATCACAGGATAAAATGTTTTCTAAATGTAACTTTAAATGGTATAAACTTCTATCTGCAGTAATGTTTTGTTGAAAATTGTAAAAATATGTAAAGTAAGCAGCATTTAGCTGTTAATGCTTTTTTTTTAAGTAAAAAGCTTTTGTCGCATTACCAAAATATGTATTAATCTAACATTTTTTCATAAGGATATTCATATACTGTGAACCAAACTTTTTATTTATCCTAATATATGAATAAATAATTATCTTTTCATCAACTCACAAACACTCTGCTGGTCCTTCATGAACCAGAAAACCATGCAGCCTTACCAAATTGACTTCAAATCTGAAAGCTTGATAATCTCCTTTCATTTTCCTTCATTTTTACAAAAACCCAAGTCCTCTTACACTGTCAAAAGCCCTTTAGTAACCTGCATTCAGGCCAAATCCTAGACATCCATTACCACAGTGCCTTCTTCTAACACGCCGAGTGGACAACAGGCCAATCAGGTGGCTGCGTGACTCCAGGAAGAGATGAACTGATGGAATCCCATCCAAGTCATCATCAATACTAGGATAATAGGACAGGCTGCATCTCACTCTGCCGCTCCGCTTTTCACTTTTCTCTTTCTCTCTCTGGCTTCTTTTCTTTTGGAGTCGGGTGCTAAAAGCCAATTAAGTTGCGTCTCCGTGCTGTCACTGGAGCGTCGGATGTGCTTTCTTTGGCCACAGTTTACTTGTTAACAAACAGTTATCTGAGGCAACTGACTTCAGGGGCCCGCTGACCACTGGCTTGTGAAATAGCATCTTTTGTAACTAAGTAAGCTATCGATCCACTTGACTCCATCACGCCCTCTGCCCGTCGACATGCCGGTTGTCAAGGTAACCGCAGGACACCCCACCCTGGTGATGCCCATCAGTTCCCTGACTGAACACTTGCTCCCCTGCTGCGCCATTGATTTCTGCTTCAGCCTTCCCCAAATACTTCAGCTGCTCTTCATTCTAAACAATGTATTTGTTTTGCTTCGTCTAACGTCACATTTTTTTGTGTGTGAATGTCATTTAATGGTTTGAGGTTTAAATTTGAGTTTAAAAAGCAGTACTCTACAGTAAGTGTGGCCTAAAATCGAGCATCTGTGCTGTTAGATTTCAATCTAGTGGAATTTGAAATTTGCTCAAGCATGTAAAAAAATTACAATAGGTATTTTCACTCTGCTCTTTTACAGTCTTTATATTTGCTCTCAGAATTGTCATAAATACAAGTTTCAGTTCTTGTCAGAAATCAGACACTTGACATTGAACTAAACTGAGAATTATAACTCTCTAATAAGACAAACAACATAAAAATAAGTCTTACAGTGGCAATACCTACAATTGGCTGTTTCAAATGCCAGTAGCTGATCTGCAGGTGCACTGTATAGTTAATTTAATTAATGAAGATGAAAGATGTCTGCATAAAGATGTCAAAATGTCACAATATTTAAATATTTAATAATACTCTAGTCTATACAGACTGGTCAAAAACCTCTGTTACATGGCAGCAACAGGATATATATAAAGAGTTTATTTACAAAAACATTTTTTTTTTTTTTTAAATCATATTTTTATGTTGTGGAGTTTTTACTAGTTAAAAAAAAACAGGTTTTTACATTGAATATAGAAAAAACTGATTTATAAAATATTCTGTGAACAAAAAATTTAAATGAACTCTTCAAATAGGCCTGTCATCCTTAGAAGAGTGTTAAGAGGTTAAATAATCAATAAACAGAGATCTGCATTAAATTGTTAATATAAATACATATACAATGCATCTGGAAAGAATTCATAGCGCTTCACTTTTTCAACATTTTTTATGTTACAGTCTTATTCAAAATGCTTCAATTCATTTATTTTTCTTAAAATTCTACACACAGTACCCCATAATGACAATGTAAAAAAAAAATTTTTTTTTAAATGTTTCAAATTTATGAGAAATAAAAAACTTGAAAAACATGCATAAGTATTCACAGCCTTTGCTAAATACTTCGCTGATGGCAGCAATTACAGCCTCAAGTCTTTTTGAATATGATGCCACAAGTCTTTGGGAATTTTTGCTCATTCCTCTTTGCAGTGCCTCTCATGCTCTATCAGGTTGGATGGGAAGCGACGTGTACAGCCATTTCAGATCTCTCCAGAAATGTTTAATAGGATTTAAGTCTGGGCTCTGGCTGGGCCACTCAAGGACATTCACAGAGTTGTTGTGAAGCCACTCCAATGATATTTCCTAGTCTGAGGCCAAGAGCACTCTGAAGCAGGTTTTCATTCAGGGTGTCTCTGTACATTGCTGCATTCATCTTTCCCTCTATCCGGACTAGTCTTCCAGTTCCTGCTGCTGAAAAACATCCCCACAGCATGATGCTGCCACCACCATGCTTCACTGTTGGAAATGTATTAGTTTGGGTATGAGCAGTGCTTAGTTTTCTCCAAACGTAACACCTGGAATTCACTTTAAAGAATGTCTTAGTGGACATTTTCGTAATATAGGCATCAAACTCAAGCTTAGTCTACAGTGACACCTAGATATTTAAATTCACTCACTTCCTTGATTTCCTTTTGGTCAATTTGGATTTTAAATACACCCAGTGCTTTGTTCATTCATTCATTCATTTTCTTTTCGCCTTAGTTCCTTTATAAATCAGGGGTAACCACAGCAGAATAAACCGCCAACTTAGCACGTTGTACGCAGCGGATGTTCTTCCAACCACAACTCATCACTGGGAAACAGCCATTCACTTTCATTCACACACATACACTACGGACAATTTAGGGTACCCAATTCACCTGTACTGAATGTCTTTGAACTGTGGGGGAAACAGGAGCACCTGGAGGAAACCCATGCTAACCCTAACCAGCCAAGGCTTGAACCAGTGACCTTCTTGCTGTGAGGCAACAATGCTGGCTACTGCGTCACCCTTTAAGTAAATAATTTATATACAAACAGAAAAGCAATGGTCCCAGTATTGAGC